GATTACGTTTTTATCATTTTCTTATAATATTCTTTGAGCAATGTCTATTTGTTTCACAGATCCGGGGGGTCTGATTGCGTGAAGTAATAATTGGGTACAATGTCTGTCCAAACGCGATGATTTTCGGATTTCGGCATCCGTTTTGCCTTTATCGCGCTGAAGTTCGTACTGAAGAACTACGGTGGTTTTAGAACGATATCAAGGGCGGCGGAAAACATCTGTCCGAGCTACAGGAAAGTTTGAACCAGAGCCCCCACCTGATTGTTGGTTCCCTCGCACAGAAGAGCGCGAGTTCGACTTCGGATCTCGGGTCACTGTTGCCCTCACAATGTGCGCGATCTCTGTCGAACATTAACGATCCAGGTATGAATGCAGACTTACTATTATGTCTAGAATGTTATAGGTTTGTTCGTTTACATATTGTACTGTTTGGCGTGTTAATTAAGGCAGTAATTTCACCGACGGAATCTATAATCAAGCCTGAATGGCTAATGCTAAACTCTCTTTTCATTTCCGTGGCATTCGGGTGAATCGGGTGACACCGCAGTATCTAGGCATCATCCTCGACCGAGCACTCACGTTTGTATAATCCGCACCTGGTTGCGATACAACGAAATACCAAAACCGGAATGAACTTGTTTCGTTAACCTGCATTTACTTCTTGGGTAACACATGATTGTCAGCCTTATGTACTCTACCACCGAACATCTTACTCCTGATCGGAGTTTTCCATAAGGTAACGTGTCTTTCAATTTAATAAAGCAGCACCGTTCCCGTGGAGCTAGAGACTTCATGTTAATAGACATTACACATACACGCTACTGCACATTCGAGCGAACCCTCTCTTGCCTTCGGGGTAATTAATCAGTGCGAATCCGCAGAGTTTAGTGGAGTTTGCGCTTCAGTGCCCATCGGTATGACGCCTAAAATTCTATTATTTCATAGTGGGAATAAGCGATTCTCTGACGCACAATTTGATGAACTGCATTGAGCTGACTGGGAGAACTTGATCTTATCCGGACATTTTTCACTCACTTTATAAAGGAGCCTCAGGACCTGGCTCGAAGAGGATGATTTGCTGAGTTTGAGATTGGCCAAGGTCACTGCAATCATCTGCTTCATCGCTGAATGATGAAACCCAACCGATAGATCAGATAATAGTGCATTTTAATTGTGAATGACCTTGACATAAGCTCGATGGCTGGCTAGCTGACTGTAGCTTACCACTTTAGAAATGAATGACAGACAGTCTGTTGCGTAATTCATTAATCATAAATGTATGTAATAGTTTAAATATATTTGAATTTAATACAATATAATTTAATATAATTATATTTCTATGTGATACATGATATATTATACATTTTCTCCCCATATGAGGCACTATTTCGTGCGGCGGAGGAGAGA